TTTATACCCGTTACAAATAATATACGTATCTTTGTTTAATGCCTTTTTTTCGAATTGTTCTTTGATTATTTCGAGGTCAAAAGCAGATGAAGTCTCAATGTGGACGTCATTTTTAAGGACCTCATCCAGTACAAAACTAAAGTGAGAGCTTTTTGTACAATAACAATAAACATATTTGGCTTTATAATCCACTTTTGCCATAGCCACGTTAAACAAACGTTTGGCTTTTTGAATTTGTGAGCTTATTTTTGGAAGGTAACTGATACGCAATGGAGTTCCATATTGTTTAATAACATCCATTAAAGGAATGTCATTAAAATAGAGTTCTTCATCCTTTACCGCAAAACCTTCTTGCGGAAAATTAAAGGTTTGGTTAATAAGGGTGGAATATAAATTGTCCATTTTTTGAATCTAAGTTGTTTGGTTTAGCCTATTTGAATCAAAGTAACTCATTTAGATTAAACAAAAGTAAGTGTAATAATTAAGAAATTGTAAAATAATGAGTGTTCCGGGCGTTATCGGGAGGCAAATCCGGGATTTGCAAACACAAAGTAGACAGATTAATGAAACATATGATAAAACCAATTAAAATTGTTGAAGTAAAGAGTGAGATTGGCGCAGGAACCAGGGGCGCCAGTATGGGCGTTGACGCTATAAAGATCGCAGCCCTTGATTTTGGAAGTCCGTTTTTTAAACGTTTTAAGTCCGTAGAAGTTCCTAGTGAAAACAACCTGCTTTTAGAGCCGGTAGTTCATGATTATGCCAAAAGGATTAAAGGAATTTACACTTTAAATGAGCGTATTGCCAAAGAAATTCAAAAAACATTAAAGGCAGATGAAGTTCCAATTGTTCTAGCCGGAGATCATAGTTCAGCTCTTGGAACCATAAGCGGGATTCGTATGGCTTACCCAGAGAAGAAACTCGGGGTTATCTGGATCGATGCTCATGCCGATCTTCACAGTCCCTACACTACACCAAGCGGTAACATGCATGGTATGCCTTTGTGCTGTGTTTTGGGTGAGGACAACAAAGACCGTCAGCAAAACAGACCTGATGATGAAACAGTTGAATACTGGGAAAAACTC